ATGCAATATGGGTGGACTAAAACTTCGGACGCCAAATTTTATGCAGTAATCCTGATAATTCGTAGACAAAACCCTGTCCGATAAAAATGGATACAGTTTGAGTTTTAAATAAATCCATAGGCACTCAGCTAGCATCATACTAGGCAACTGAGCAGTGACAGGGTTCAATGTAGATTTCTCCACAAGAAACCGCAAACGACACGGTGAACTTTTATGCAGTGGTTCAGCAGTGAAAAATTATCACAAATAAGCAGTATCAGAAGTCAAAGCAAGTTTGAAACACCAGCTCTTAGTTTCTGATTCATCACTTGAACAGTAATCCACGGCTTTTTACATGCATGAGAAACGTATGTCCAGGGAATTAGTAATTATCTGTGGTCTAAAGACCATGACAGAGGCAGAAACATTCATTTTTCGGAATTCTGATTCCACTGACTATTATGGTTTAAGATTCCTTTGGAGCACAGAAAAATATTTTAAAAGTTCTCACAGGTTGAATAACTTGTAAACTTTACTAAACTTAATGATTGTGCGACCGATTCGTGCAATAGACTGTTAATGCTTAAATTTGATTTCGCTTGAAAAAAATCGTTATCCAAAAAATTAAGATGCTTGACAGTTCGGACAAGCAACCCTAGAATTTTCGGAACGCTATCTAAGTTAACGATGTTCAAGTTGCAATACATTAAGTGTGGGGATTCTGTGAAGGAGTAACTTCCTTACTGTTCACAGAAGGCATCAAATGACATAGTAAACCCGGAAACGTCTGTCTGTTTTCGACAGAGAAGTAAGTAGATGAAAGTGAATGGGCATCCCTGACGGACACCACTAGTCGTCACCACTTCAGATGACAACTCGCCATAAGCCCTCACCTGGCTGCATGAGTACGAGTAGAGTGCCTTGATCAGTGCAATGAATTTCCTCGACATTCCCTTTACAGCCAAGCACCACTAGAGAACCTTTCGGTCGACAGAGTCGAATGCCGCCCTTAGGTCAAGAAATATAATGATTGTTGCACGCCGGTAGGAATGCCTATGTTGTAGAATCTGCCGATGGGTGAAGATATAATCAATACACCCTCTTCCTGGTCTATAGCCTGTCTGGTTCTCTCGTGCTTGTGCCTCCCAAGAACCGATTAGTCTACGCATTATTATTGAGGCTAGAACTTTAGATAGCATATTATTCAAGCTAGTCCCCCTGTGATTATCGCAGGAAGACTTGTCTCCCTTCTTGTATGTGGGGATAATCAGTGACTTACACCAGCTCTACAGGACTATCTCTGATTCCCAGACGCTGCTTAATACCTTAGTTAACGTAAACAGTAGACTGTCACCACTGTTCTTAAACACCTCTGGAGTCATTCCATCGGGTGCCACAGCTTTGCACCGTTTCAGATTAGTGACAGCCTTAGAAACATCAGTTAGGGATGGTGGATCTGTGTCTATATTCCACTCAGGGAGGTATTGGATGTTCGGTAAGTTGAGACTGGCTGTAGGCCAATTAAACTGCTCCTCAAAGTGTTCTTTCCAAAGTTCCAGTCGTCTCTCCTGGGAGCTAATTATGGTTCCATTTCTCTCAGAGATTGTTTCAATTATCAATTGCCTTTTGCCACCTGTTTCCCTGATAAGTCTAAATAGTTGTCTGGTGTTACCAATCGCCGATGCCTTTTTCATCTCCTTAGCTTTTGTCACCCACCACTGTTCAGGTTACGCTATGACTAAATTTAGTGCTGACTAGGAATAGATGATTATCTGAACAGAACTGTAGAAGACGACCATCGTCGTTGGTTCGTCGGCAAGGAACTCCATACGTACCACCTACATACTTCTCAGTCTGGCACAACCTCCCTGCTTGTGCATTAAAGTCGCCTGCTAAATCAACTATATCTGAACGTTTTGTCTTTTGCAACAAATTAGACTGTTTCAAGTAGAAGTCATCCTTTAGTTCATCCGAACTGCAGTCTGTTGGGGCGTAGGCGGAGACTACGAAAAGACGACGACGGGTAACACCGTCCTTCCTTCTTCTAACGGATCGTTCAGACGGACCGCACACATACGACTATCTACTGGGATCCAGTCAAGAAGTGATTTTTCTGCCCTAACACTCAATGCTATCCCTACACCTGCGAGTCCTCCCGAACTATCTAAGGAGTCTCCTTACACCCATAAAGCGAATTTTCCAGATTCACCTTGTTGGTCTGGTGAGGTTACGTGATTGACCACACTCGGGTCTTGTATGCGTGTCTCCGAAACACAACATACATCCATGGCTCGAGATTACAGAGTTCTTGCTAATGATGCCTGTTATCCGATTTGGCAGAGGGTCCTGACGTTAAATGCTCCTATATGAAGTTGGCGACGTGGCCTTAAGAGGCTGTCGGGGGAGTTTCTATGGCTCTCTTCGTTGTTTGTGGTCACAAAGTGAAGTGAAGATGAATCACTAGTCTGAAGAATATCACTAACTGTAGTAGGTGGAGAGATGATGGTGATGTGGGTAAAGAAGAATGATGCTCAGGAAGGCTTCGTGTGTTTTTGGAAGTGTGTGGGTGGTTGTTACTTCCCGGCTGCCCACACCGTGGAAATTGGTTGATTCTTCGGGTACCTGAAACAGAAAGAGGGTTAGTATTGCGTGACCGCAGAGCCCAAGGGACAACTGCTTGAGGCCAGTCACACACGGCCTGTATAAACTGGTTTTTTGGATTGGTTCCGTATTAGTAAACTTGCCGCCGGTTACGCACCACCGTAGGGTAAGTGGGGATGTACAATTGTTGGGGTCGACCTTTTCTAACCCCCTCTCTCCAGAGTGGAGAGACAGAATATCTGGCATGCTAGTCATCTGAGGGAAATACCTCACTGATCTTTCATTCCTGCCCCCCAGCAGTACGATTTCGCTCACAGAACCCCATTATAGTGTAAAAAATTCTTATACTATGTCGGTAACTGCTTTTAGTCTAATCGCTATCCTTACCACCTTGCTGGCATGGGTTAGGACCTGCAGGAACAATAGTCTCAGCCAGTGTAGCTTGTTGGGTGATTGCGATGTGCAAGCCCGACCACCACGTCAAGGTAGCAGCTATCGGTCAGGGCGGAAACGTCTACAGGTGGTGAGTTCATGAGTGCTCGAAATGTAATAAGAAGCTTCTGTCAGGAGAGGCGTAGCTTCAGAATGAGTTAGTTGTATCACTGCTTAGTCATTTGTAAAAAAAAATTACCCTTAAATGTATAAATTAATACTGACTGTAGGTCAATTTGCATGTATATTTTATACGGCATACTTCGGCCGCGTCGGCATTATAGGGAATTGTGCCCTCACAATGTCAGCCAAAATTTATTACACCTGATCGCTTCTTATAGATTGTTAATAGATATCACTGACAATTAAGAAGGCAGAGGTGATAAGCGATAACATACTACTGTTCAAGTTAATCAAAACCCCTTCTGTTACAAAACCAGAATTTTGCTGAATATAACCATGGACTGGATGAGAGTTCAAGCGTGACAATGAGGAGGACATTTTTAAAAACAGCTCAGGTAGCCTCCATTATTCAGTCTCAGCTTGAACAGAACATTTACAGTAGATACAGAGTCTAGACTTCAAACAACTTAATCAGAAGAGGCAGCGGAATTGAATAAACCATATTCAGAGTTAATTAAGGATATCTAATCTTATCTATGAGCAGAAATGAAGCGCAACTTAGGTATGACAGTCAAGCAGAATTTTCGCTGGCTAGTGATAATTGCACGTCCTAACTTCAGATACAGAACCTAGAGCTGTGGTTAATAGACAAAAACACTGAACTTCCAACCGGTGGGTTACAAGTTTGGGACCCCACCCAAAATACCGGTCTAGTCAGGCACGTCGCATCACCAGCCCTCATACTATATGTGTGGCTCATTGTCAACTCCATGAAGTTTCAAGTGGTCGTTGAATAGGACCTTATTTTTCCAATAAAGAAATAAAATCATTTTGTCATAGAGCTAGTTAGTTTCCAATGTCCTGGGACCCACAATCTTAACTATGGCTACAAAATGGAAATCGACAGAAACCGAATAGCCTGTGTTTCCCCTGTGGAAACACTGGAGTGAATGTCCATCAAAACCTAAGAAACAGTTGCTAGACATAAGCGTATATGATTACAGTAATCTCACACGGTAAATAATTGTTTAGTGTAATTAGTGGTTATCTACAGTATTATTGTAAGTACTTTCTTTAGCCCTTCTCAATTGTTTGAAATTATATTCGGATATCAGAAATAACCATCTTGGAATTCTCTAATAACGACCATACAATATCACAGCCATCAACCCGCCTATAATTACATATATGACAGGTGAATAGTGTAAGGCTAGAGTAAAAAGCTTTTCTCCAATTATGAAAAAAACGGACGACTTTCCATCTAGTGAAGAACAGTTAAGTAATAAAAAATGAACCACCTTATTGGGGACAAGCAAGATAAAAACAATTAGTACCGCCTAATTTATAATTTTCTTATGCCGGAAGCCAGTCAAATACGAACACTAAATTTACCAATACGTTGGATGTATCTATATACCAATATGTAGTTCGAAGGTACAATTTGTCATAGATATAATGTTGGTGTCAACTTATGCGAATATTCGCGTAATTGTGACCAAGGAATCAACTATTTTTCTACCTATCTCTTTAGATAAGTTATAAGAGACGGAAACACTCAGAAGTATATACGAATACTTATTGCGAAATTCCTTAATCGTCGTATTCTTCTGTGTATATTCTCAAACATACTAAAGATACGCATTAGAAAAGCGATAATTTTCCTAATTTATAAACCGGATTTTCTCACAAGTAGCATAACACATTTCTCCTGAACACTTGGGAGATGAAACTCATTGGTTTGAGCACTCGACATGGAGCTAATGACCGCCTTGACTTCGGAGTGTGACTTAGAAACATGTATATGAAAATTCATTCTCGATAAACAAGCCCTAACGGCTTATTTCACAGCACTAGCAAAAAAAAAATTACAGCGAAACCTCCAAAGCTTATATTCATACGAAAAACAGTTAACTGACTGAGATAACATGCATCATGGTACATACTTGAAAACACATAATTTTAAACGTCCTAAGTCTATAGTTGTCTAAGAATCATTAAGAAATTACAAAAATAACCAATCACTGAATGACTGAAATTATTATCAAAATACATTAAAGAAATATTGAGTTCTCTTTAAACTCAAAAAAACTAATCGCAGTAGCAGTCTATTGAACAGACACGACTATATGCGGCACATGTAAAAAACATGATAGAAGTGCATAAGAGATGAATAACAAACAAACAAACAATAAAGTCAATGTTCTTCATTTAAAGTGCCAAATAAAAAACGGCTCTCATTAAGTGTATATATCACTGAGGTATAAAGTGACATTAAAGAGGTAGATTTTCAAACTTCCTATTTTGTACTTTCACGTCTGCTGCGTTTCTTTGGAGAAGCGATACCTTTTGAAAATATTGTTAGAGAAATGAGATGGGGGAATCGAGGTGAATGAATTGTAAGATCAAAATATATTTATCTATGCTTATATATAAGTTTGTTAATACAATAGATTTAGTCTTTTCTCAGCAGTAGATGGGGCATTAACAAACATTCAGATTGCAACATAAGATTTGCTTGGTGGCACAAAAAGACGTAACAAAGTGGTATACGCCGCAAGCCGATATGGGTGGTTTGAAGCCACTCACAAGCCAAACATTGATGCTTACTAGTTAGATCAGGGTAATCCAAGCACTAATCAATCATTCCGCTTGTTTGGGTTCGACGCTATCTGCGTAGTACTAGGTTGGGTTTGGCAAGCACTACTATCTGATATGAGTGGTTTCCAACTACTAGTTTCAACTAACTGTTAATTGTAGACCGCTGGAACCAATTATCCAATAACCTCATTGATAGGTGTGTGCACCAGCTATCAATATTCTTTTCTTTTAAATTTCGTTCCTATTATCTTTCGGATCAAGTGAAAGATGCTACTCACGCAATAAAATACCATAAATTTGTAATATAGTGATCATTTGTATGCCTAAGGAATGAAAATTAGACAGCAAGTACCGTTACTAGGCGACAGACATTATGACAAGGCATCAATGAATATGACCCAATCCTGTCTGTTGAGATTGTTGTCTTAATGTAAACTCTCACTACACAGGGTTGATCTAATATGGCTGTTATATTCTGTCCTCTTATTTGTATGTAAATGCGATTCATTGATCATAATTTTGTTCTACACGTCAACAATGTTCGGTATGTTTTTGCTCCTCCTTGAATAACAGTTGTTTCTGTTAAAGTATAATTATATTTCAATAGTTTACACACTTTGATATGTTCTGTTATTGGTAATATTTCGAGCAAAATTACCAAAAATAAAACTTATCATTATGTGTAAACTATTTGATTTAATTATTTGATTTAATCCTCAATGCTCAAACTTTTTACTGATATAAGTTGTTTCTGTATTGTTACCTTTATGTAACCGTATTATTTTCGTATTTCAGAAACAGATAAATTTGATGTTAAACCATCAGCGTTTTAATCGTAGCAAAGCCTAAACTCTCTATTGTCAGTATTTATATTGAGAACTAAGATCTGTAGGATAAAACTTGGGCACCGTGGTAGAATATAATTCTGTTATGGATAACATTTATTTCGATAAAGTCCCACAGTGTTATACAGTAATATTTACTGATGACATTTCGAGCATAATTTATTGCATATAATCACATCAAGATACACATACAACAACGAAGCAAAAAGTTGTGTGAGTACCTTGGTATGAATGTGAGCAATAAATTGTGCTCGAAACGTCATCAGTAAATATTACTGTATAACACTGTGGGACTTTATCAAAATAAATTTTATCCATAATGAAATCCTACACGTATTCAATAATGGAATTAGTGTTATTGTTTTCATTTCTTACATTTCTAGAATATTCACTTTTAAGTTCCTACAGCAGGTAACTAGCGTAGAATTATAAGCTAAGAGCTCTATTCATCATTACAAGTTTGTAAAGAGTGATTTTATACGTAGGTGTCAAAGTAGAAAAATTGCTAGAAAAAAATAATAAAATAAAATATACTGCATGTAAATATTCACTACAAATTCATGGCAGATTAATTCAACCTACTACATACACTTTTCATGGATGAACTTAATGCATAAAAATATAATCATAGTGTTGAAATTAGTACTGGAGCCAGTCAATTATAACCACAGAATAGGCTTATAGAAATCAGTGCTAGTATCTCATATAATTTCATATTTTAGCTTTATATATACATAAATATATATATGAGCTCGCGAAAACTTACTAGATGCATTCAACTGAGGAAAGTCTCCAAAATTTCGAATATCTACAGTCTTCTTAGACGCCACATTTTGTCCGAGATGAAGTGACGATCGCTTCTGACCAACTGGAACTAGTGACTGCATATCATTTGTTAATCCACTGTGTAAAGCATCTGGAGATGGTCCATACGGTGTTCTGTAAAATTATGTTAGCAGCAAGAAACACTCACTTTAATAGGAAATAATTTAAGATTAGTCTAAGCATGCAGTCAGTTACATTTCTAATGGTAGAAATTTGAATTTTAAACTTAAGAATGCACTGGCGATTTAATCGGACATTAAAATTGACATCATTTGCACAGTAATCAACATGAAAGTCGTACCGACGGAAAATTTAGGTAGCTGGATTTAAATAACGTTAAGTCGCGTGATCGGTGGGGCTAAATCATTAAATCCAGCAAAAATATCTAGTTAACAAAATTAAACTTTACAGGAGCAAAATCATCCAGTAATCACACGAACAACTGACATCTAGTAAGTATACACCAGAACAATAATGAAACACAACGTAAATTCCAAAGATAGATGTACAAACTGGACCGTGATAGTATAGTAATTCAAACCTACTTGGAGTGCCGCGTAATCCTACGGCCTTCGTTAGTGTTGATAGGTCCCGTCAAAGTGTCCTCTTCTTCATCCTTAATTGTAGCAGCTGGAAAACGGTTCACCTCTTTACATTGTTTTGGAACCGATTGTAAAGTGTCGTCATCTTCATCATATTTACGATACTGCCTTTGATTATATGACATTTTAATGGTTGGTGAAGCTGCGAGATCTTCAGGACTTTGAAACGAACAGGATAGCGGTTGGTCACGTTTCACTAAAGAAATTTGACATTCTTCTGGATTTTGATTTTCAGTGTCGCTAGATGTAGCACTTTCTAAGACCCACGATGAACCAGAAAAATTGCTTGACAGATCAGCAGTTGACAATGAACGCCAAGTATCTTCGAAACTGTAAAACGAATTTTAAAATGCAGTTGTTTTACAACTAATGACTCTTCTTACAGCATATAAAAAACTTACAAATAAAAAAACAAAGTCATAATATTGCCTGCTAGTCCCAAAATATAAGCAGCTGCAGAGGAATGAATACACTAAACGTGCATATAGTAGTAAATCTTTTCCAGCTTAGGAAATATCCATTAATGTGTACCAGTAACTGATAGTGGTGATAAACAAGAATCAGACTAAAATGAAACCCAGTAACTACATGCGTGTTAGTGTAGTATGAAACGAGTCACGTTTACAGTGTCAACGTCAGTGATGCTATTACTTCACTGATAATACCTTAAAATATTGGTGGATTTAAAACCCATGATAAGTCAAGTGCCTAAATATAATAACCACCAGCTATGTTACACCACGCTACGTTAAATGGGGGTTACAAACAGTAACGTCAAGGGGCATCAGCATAATGATAACCTCATCAGTTAAATCGCTTTGTGGAATATAACTATAGTAAACAGGACTAGTCTTTAACCGATCCTTCTTGCTACAGTAAGTGAACATCCTATCATTGATACGGCATATCTTCACATTATTTCAGTCGTTTGTGTATTTGAGTTTTGGATTTGTTCCACTGCATAATTTGAATAACTGTCGACAAAATGAGGTTCAAAATATGGGCACTTCTCTAAAACTAAAGATTTCGGCAAGTGACTTCGTTTAGACAACTAATATCCAAAAAATATAGCACATCTTAGGGAAATTAGTAAACCTTGAATATTCTCTTAAATATCTCCATATATTCTCCAATCCGTGAGGCATACCAAGAACAGTTGTACTAACATGGGATGCTAGGACCGCGCTACTACAATGGAAAGTGACAACTTAATCCAATTTCCTCTCATGAAAGCGCCTGCTGCATGAGTTACCGAAGCGGGTAAAAGCATTTATAACTAGCATGTGAAAAACGAAACTTGACCTTTGAAACAAACCAAGAACTTTGTTGCTTAGTATTTTTGTGTCGCAAAACAACCCTCTAGGCCCGAACATTCTCATGAATAGAAAACATTAGTGCTAAAATTTTGGCAAGCAGCTGAAGATAGTATAATCCTCCTAATGTAATTAAGCATATGAAAAATGGTCTTGCTTAAGAGTAATCTTGTCTGGAAAAATTAACCCTCGGAGACACTTTTGTCAAAATTTTTTCATCGAAAATGCAAGCAGAATCTCATGCATTCAAGTACTTAAAATCTATTATGTAGGCTCAAACAAATGCTTCGAACAGACAAGTATAGTCACATGCAAGATCAATAAACTAGGCTCACCAGTTGCTGATGGTGACCCGCAAAACAAATACATCATTGAAACAGATACAAGAAGCAGAGCATTCATGGTTTATGATGACGTAATTAATAAACTCGAACTTAAAATATTATCATAAATGTAAGAACATATATTAATAATAGCAAAAACCAAGAAAACCAATGAAGCATCGGTTAGTAGGGACTATATAGCTATTAATGACAAACACGCAGTAATGCAACGTAACCAAAAATGATACATATCAAGAACTATCTAAAGATTTATGTACCCGGCTCAGTTACTCAATAAAGTAATGATGCATGGTGAATAAGTTTACTGCCCCCCCCCCGGTTTCCGAGACAAAGAAACTGGATAGGGAGACTAATTTATGAAGTGCATTTTTCGAAATTAAATTGAAAGAAGACATATTACAAAGGAGAACCTAGATAAAGTCATAAAGCGAACCCACTTGAGATCGTCAAAGTTGTGTAAGTGCTTGCGCCACTTTCGAATCATGCCATCCCACGCACGACGAGAAACTTTACGAAACTTGTTAGGTGTACGAGGATGGTACTTTTGACGTTCGGGTTTCGGAATGCTTAACACATACTCAGCGTAACGTTCGGTCACTTTACCCATATCAATGTCTTTCTGTCTCCTCAGTAATTCCATCTGCCTTCTTTCAAGTTCAATAGGTTCTGTTTCCCCCTGAATGAAAAAAATAATGACTCCAGAAGATTGTTGCAAAAACAAACTAATGAAACCACACACAATATACGAACCGATCAATATAAATGTCTGAAAGATAAGTTAAATAACCACTAACTTCATAAGCCATTCACATTAGTTTTCAGTGAAACAAATTATTGCACTTCACAATGAGATTAATAGAACTACATATCTACCATCTATCACCTCTAACAATACTATGTGCAATACACATGTATATACTCGAATTTATACGTGTTCCAAGTGAATACATCCAGTGATGTGATGTCAAAGTCCGGGTAATTCAACTCTACTTTTCCTGAATTAGTTCTGCGTTATGTATCATGGTAAAATGGAGTAGACGGTGCACCGACTTCTAATTGCTCTTTTGCTTGCCCAGTACTTTCGGTGACAGAACTAAAGACCTAATAACAATCACTTATGTTACCGGACATACTGACGTTATACAAAACACTGAATCCGATTCCTAGATATTATTTTTGAGCCAAACGGGAAATATGGAGCCTTTCCAAACATAACTCAGCTACTAATTCCAAGGGGTTATGAAACTACTGCATTAAACAAACTGAAGCATGCAACGTTAGGTCTACAAAACATACCAGAGAAAAACGAAACTAGATAGAGTCCTAAGGATCTAATAGGTACATCCACAACCCATTTCTTTTAGTGCTCTAAGCAAGCTCATATTTCAACTCAATGCACTGCATTACCTCAAACACCCAGGATCCATGTCTCTTACTGGAATAAGGTTACTCATCTACAGCTACTGCAAAGTTGACAATAGTTACGTGACCAAACTTCTGTAGGTGAATCGTTAAAAATCATAGCTAATTTGTTAGACAAAGTGAAGTATAAATAACATACACATGAATGTCACAAGTATCGTATTCAAATTCCTTATTAAGTGAAACGCGAATTTCCGCAACTATACCAATCCATATACCATAAGCAGCTTTACGTCTTATCATCACAAAAGTGGGGATCCAGCAAGAATAAGAACGCGTGTCAAACAGTGACAAAACGCCTTTTAGGAGTAGCGTCTGCGCGCGATCAGATAACTTGGTATCGACAGTAAGTGATCATAACTGGACTCGTAGGAAGCTGAGAAACTATGGCTATAGATACCTTGGAAAGGTATCCAAAATATCAATTAACTTAAAAGCTCTAAACATATCTCACTTCCTGTTATTACTCATTTCATTTACGGTTTGTATGTTATCCGTCCTCCAGTTGTTATCGTGTAGTGATGGTCTTCTTATAGGGAATACATTAACTAATAAATTTGATTATCAACGTAGGCTAAGCTGTGGTGGAATCAGGGCATGATCATATACGCATACTAATGTGGAACATCAGCTTTCTGAATACTACGAATAAGATCAAATCACTTAGACATAGGGAACTGATGTCAAGATTAGTGTCTTAGGCCCACTATTCGAAATCCTGCACAGAACGAGTTAACAGTTAAAAAGGAGTTCGAGGATATGCTCTTCGATATGACTAACTACATGTCCTAATAATCACAGCGATTTCCTGCACGAGTAGTTTTACAAGCTGCGAAACATAACAGTATGGACATGAAACAATACCTGAACTTATTAGGTGAAGGTAGTCTCCTACAAAACAGATAATTACTGCTAAATACACTGCACTAGAGCACTTAAACTTATGCTAAAAGTAATACTATCAGTCTAGATAGTGTAGTCAAGTAGCTTAAATAGTGAGTAGAAACAAAGGTCGAGTACCTCATATTAATAATGAATACAGTGGAAGGTTACCCTTTCTGATAGTCTGCGTCTTAATTTGTCTTCATAGCGGTTCAAGTCTTCATCCGCATCATCACACAAGAGCAGATCCACCTTCCAGTCCCCTTGGGTTCGATAACGATCGAGACGTTCTTGTGCACGTCTGATCTCAATCAGTGGGTCATAATCAGGATGAAACCTCCTGCGGCTTCCAGTCTGACGAGAGTCAAATTAATCATACACATACCGAAGATATGATACTGCGCGACATGTTGTTATCACAGCTTTGTTCCTTTGATCTGTGTCGGGTCCTGTATCTTGGTGAGGTTCCGCAGTTCCGCACAGGTGTAGACATCCGTACAGATGCCGTTGTATCGACCCGTTGAGTAGATGGCCGACTTCTCCTTTCATTATTTAATTTGCGAGCACTATCTAACTTAAGTTTGTTGCTTTGGCCGTCGACGATCAATTCACTGTTATCTAGCTGACTTCAAAACACTTGAAATTCACAAAAATTTTGTTACTTCTGGCCCGTTAGAGGGTTGGCGCGCGAACGGCCTTTATTAATGGCTCCCAAAAACACTGCATTTTTAACAGGAGCCGACTTCCTACACCGGCGGCGATCCTCTGTCAACGAACTCATCACAGATTAAAATTGCCTTTGGCGGGTGTGTAGTGTATTAGGCAGTACTGCGTATTTAAGTGTTCAATGTCTTGGTTAAAATGATTGCTTGATTTTGAGGCATACAGAAAAATGAGCTATCTGCTCTTGTTCTGTGTCATTATCATACTACTTTTATTTCCCTGAAACTAGCTTAAGAGAGAAGCATCCGAGGTGAATTCTGGCTCGCTGAAGACACTTCAGGCATTTTATGGGGTTCCAGGCATATTTGGATTGCATCAAACAGTTTAGACCTACTTTTCCTTTACAGCTAACTGAAACACTTGAATAATAAATACGCACTGTCTTTACATGAAAATGTTAGATAAAATCCCTCTATTCTTTTCGAATTTCGAAAATGTTGCATGTACTACAGTCTTAGATGACTTCAAACTTTTGGGTCCCAAACACATAGTTTTCTGCTGGATATTTCTCCAGTGTACCTGACGCTTTAATAGACACGACTGGAACCTTGGATTAGAGTAAATGGCCTGTATTAATGCTTTTCTTATGCACATCTGTGATTATTTGATCCCTTCCTGAATGAGGCGATTACACAACGTTTCTTCTGCTTACAGTTACTGAAACCTCGAAAGAAGAACCAGGATTTCAAAGTGAGATACCTCCTACATGGGTTTGGGACGCTTCTGCGTTGTCTTTCGGGGCGTCTCGATGTGATAGTGAGGAAAGGAGAAGGTACATCATGTCCCCGGTAATTCTTTTAAATTTTCGAACATTCTGATTTGATCTACTGTCTTATTAGGGTATGGTACGTAGATAAAATTCGGTCTGTTTATGTATCACTCATCCCAAGAATCACGTCTTTGACCGTCCTTTAAACAATACTGAATACTGATGAGTTTCGTTTACTGGCTAGCTGCCGGATGCAATTTGCGCTGTTTCGGAAATGCATATATGGTGAACATACTGTTAGACATCCTACAAAATATGTCCCACATTTCTCATACATATCTGAGAGCTGACAAGAAGTGACAGTTTGCGAAAGTTATCAAATTTTAATACCCAGATCAGTGTAGGTCTAAAATGCAGGGGGTGATGTTCACCCTACGTTGAATATCCAGAAATGTGCATGGCCAGTAGACATAGATGGTCACTTCACAACATTGATGAAAGGTATTCATTCCTTCGATAAACCTACCAAATTTTTAAAATCTGTCCTTCCTTCTTCCCTTGTGGTTTCTTGCTACTACTGCATCATTCTGTTTAAGGAGTGACTCTCCTATTGAGTTAGATAACCACAATATATGAGCCACTAAACAGGCCACCTTCAATTCCTTCTGAAGCTTTTGGTGGATTCTGTGGAATCCCACTGACCTGCCTGTATCTGCCTTGTCTTAAGATTGAAGCACGACGTTTAGTTCAATGTCGACGTAACATATACAAACTTCTTGCGATGAAACCATAGCTGGTATTCCGTCTGGTGGTGGCTATCGTTTGACGACTCCGGAGAAGTAGCGGGAGATCAAAGAAGTTCGCTCATCCAGTAGGATCTCAACCATTTCGTCGTCAAATGGCAATTTGTCCATGATGATATATGAACCTCTGTCTACACAGGAGCACGTCATTTCTAAAAATATGGTTAACTGTGAATTTAAATGATTGCCGTTCCTTACGACTTTAATCAGTTAGGATAGTCCGCCAACTAGTCAGTCAATGTAGTACATTGAGAAAATATAGAAATGCTGTCTAAAAGAAGACCTAGGCTCACGCTGGGTGGACAACAAATGCCTGTGAGAAAAAAGGCTTGGAATCAACTCTCTCACATAACTTTGCTGTGTAGGGCATTGCATCTTACCCTTGATTTGTAGTTCGATGTTTTATTAATCCAAAATGAGTAACATATTAGCACTATTTTCTTAGCAATGCCATCTTACGACAGTAAAAAGAGTGAATTCGATTACATGCAGATAAATACCACCCAAATCCATGTGAAATTGTCGTAGTGAATCAAATAGATGATAATCCAACAAAGTTGGCCGTTACCCTCATTTGTAGCTGCATTGTAGCCTGTGCGTCGGTGGCACAATGGTTAGGACCCTCGCCGGCCATGCACATGGTTCGGGGTTCGATCCTCCGCCGACGCGCACCCGATATCTATGGTCGGCCTGCAAAATTTGGGCTACCGATATCACATGCTGAAAATTCCATACTTGTACTGAAAATGCGATGTGGCATCAAGCTGTAATCAAAAATAAAAATAAAAAATAAACGCAAGTTGATTAAAGGATAAAATTTTGGCACTGTGGTAGAGCATAATTCCATGATGGATAACATTTATTTCCATAAAGTCATACAGTGTTATGCAGTAATGTCTGATAATGACGTCTCGAGTACAATTTGTTGCTCATAATCTTATCAAAGTAATCACATAACTTTCTTGCTTCGAGTATATACATGAATAAAAACTGATTATACATTTGAATAAAATCCATATAAGACTTGCATGAAACAGAAAGGAAGATAAAGTACACTCGGAAATAGTATTAGTGTCATCAATATAATACAATAGGATGGGATCAAGAAGTACAAAAGTTTGAGAGCCAAATGTCTTCATGTTAAGTCATAAATACTGCTCCCACAGAATTTTATTCAAGGTTCTTAAATGGTAGTCCGGGAGCTTTCAAGGAGGTTGAGTGATAATGAGTCAACAACATGAAGACTGATGTACATTCACGTAAGTGGCATCAAGTTCTGCTTAACTTCAACCCCACTGTTTGTCCGTGCGAATTCCACTGAAAGGCAAGCAAAAATAGGTAAAACCCAATTGTTTATTTTTACACGTTTGTATTAGTTGCACACTGCTGTTTAATAAACATGCATACCGACATTCTCTTCGTATTTCCATATATGTATGCAGCTAGTCTCTTTTTCGTTTATGCAGAGTAATTAAAGAAGTTTTACGCGTTCTTTAGACATTTAATTGTCCTGATATTTGATTCACTCTTAAAACAGACAATGCATTTTTGTTGTCTGCGTATTCATTAGAGCTTAGTGGCTTTTATAAAGAGAGTCTGAACCTTATGACACAGTCGTAGGTCCTGATTTTTAGGAGTAGACTGTTCCATATTCTGTGATACATGACTGGAAAGGATTTCTAGCTGAGTGTCTAGTCATGCAAATCGTAACAGCGTCCCGGTGAGATCTGCATGTGCATACTATCTAAGCATGATTTTTTTATGCAAGACCATAATGGAGAATATTAAGTTTACAGTAGGTCCTCTCGCCCTGAGTGGGTCAAGATTTAGAGAGGTACGCTGTGAAATCCTATACAAGAAGTTTCGGCGTGAATTGCCTCTCAGCTTGTCACATATCTTAGCAGTATTCTAATAATGATCTGACACGTGTTGTATGGAATGATTTTGGCTTCACGGTGAGTGTCATCTTAAAAGCAACTTCGATTTTCGAGTTTGCAATATGACTTGTTCAGAAAATGTTAGGTCACAAGTGCACCCTAGTCTTAAGTCAACGGTACTTTGAAGTCGGGTTATTTCGGCAGATTGAAGCGTCACATCGAGTGGTTCGGATTGGTTTGACGAAACTGCAAGGCGAGAAGTGTCAGTATCACTTTCACCTGTGACTGTCGAGTTGTTATCTGCTCCTCTTGGTGAATAATGAGTTGCATTATTGGAATCGCCATATTGTACGGTAGTTTTATTCTTAGTTTGGCTGGAGAAATCGGTGCCAGTTTTTATTTGGCCTACGCATGTTCATGTGTTGGATGTGTCTGATAGATGTGTGCGTTAGACTGTGCCTGTTAACTTCCAAAGAGACAGCCAGTACTAGTTGTCCTGTCTAAGAAGGGTCAACATCCTCATCAGCTGTTTGGTCAACGCTGACACATATGTGGCGAACAAAAATTATTGGTACCTCATGATTCCCACAGTTTGTTATTCTGCCTATTGCTTGAAGGCACTATTTGTGTCTTTACCAAGGTCTTATTGTGTGTATTACCGCATTGTGCGTTAATTCCCAGCAGATTCGTGCCACATATTCTGTCAAAGTTCGCTCATGTGCCATATCCTGAAAACCTAGAGTGGTTGGTAGCTGAGGTCTGAGTATTTTCCTCGTACCATTGAGAGTGGTGGTGTTGCTACACCAGTTATGAATGTGAGCTTTAATCCGACATGTTATATTATGCGAGTACGTTATTACTCTGTTTTCCGTGAAGATTCTGTTATCAGTGTGGTGGATGGTATAATTTGTGTCTTATTTCTCTTCCAGTGTGGATTCTTCTTGGATGGATTTTGCGAATTCAGTGGATTTTCCGTTATGAGTGGTATATTTCGGCATGCTCTGTCACTGGAATCTTTTGTAACTCTTAAGTTTTGACTAGAAGAGGATAATATTGACTTTTGGGTGCCATTGGTTCCTTTATTTGGCCTATATAGGAATGTGTCTAGACCTACAGAATTAGGTGGTAGGGCTATATCAGGTCTGTCCGTATAATTCCATTTCCCTTTGGCTGATGTGATTTGCGGAGCTAATTCCATGTGGTTTTAGGGGTGTGAGTCCATGAGTTCAACCTTTTTAATCAGGGGGCATGTATGTGTTTTAGTTGATGAATTTCTTAGCCTATCCCTGCGTTTCAAACTGAAGAAGTATAGGGCAGCAGTAGTTGTATTGACACTTTGATAGACATTTTCGCCGCCCTAAACAAGAGAACCTGTACTATTTTAGCCTCTCATTAGATTAATATTTTATTCACACAAGTAAGCATTTACATAACTGACTTACCGTTTGTGCAGATGTGATCATATTGGACAGTTACAATTTTAAACTGAACACTGGTTTATAACATAAAAATTAAAATAATAATTTATATTTTCATATAAACAAATTTACATGAAAATGCATTCCATTTTTACAGGCACGATCAAGTATGATATAATGTCAAATAGTAGATTGTCTACAAGTTAATGTTTGAACAGCTGAATATTTGATATATGTATAAATGCACTCTTTGTCTGACCCATGTCGTATCATTATTGAATTAAAC